AACCTTCTCTCAGAATTTAAAATAATAAAATAAAAATTAAGCCAGATGTGGTGGTGCAGGCCTATAATTCCAGCACTCAGGAGGCTAAGGCAGCAGGAATACCACGAGTTTGAGGCCAGCCTGGGGTACATAGTGAGTTCAAAGCCAGCCTGGACTACATAGAGAGACACCCCCCCAATTAAATTTTTTTTAAAAAAGATTGACCTCTGGAAGGAGGATTTATTTCCTCTGTGCTGACCCTGTCTGGTATTTGACTGTTTATTTCTCTTTCTCAGCTACAGAAACCAAACCGTTTACTTAGCCAAGAATGTGAAGAATGCCTCTGTCCCAAGTATTTCCAGTTCTCACTGAAGCCACTGAGTACTCAGCACGGTTGCAAGCCACAGCCTTGTCCTGGTCCTCTCGACCTCCCTCCCAGGGCCACCTCTCCCTCTCCCGCCTGGAGAGCCCTTCCCAGGGGAGACAGAGGAGCAGATCCAGAGACCAGAAGGCCCAGTGCCCTGACATCAAGGCCGCAGGGCGATGGAGGGCCCTCCCTGTCCCCAGAGGGAGTAAGCAAGGGAGAGACAGCAAGGGTTCACTTGAACTTCCTCTGCCCCCTAAGCCTGTTTCCCACCAGCAGCTGCTGCTCTCCCTCCTCTCCTACCTCCTCCTCCCCACCACTTAGGTCAGGCCCGCCTTGAACTCACTATGTAGCCAGGCTTGCCTGGAACTCCCAGTGATCCTCCTGCCTCGGCCTCCTGCATGCTGGGATCACAGGCTCGCTCCACCACACCTGGCTAACTTTCAGTGGATTTATTGGGATGTGGCCCCATTGTAAGTCCGGGAGCTCCTGACTCCCTTGGCAGTGGGGCAGAGAGACACAGATGGCTATTGGCAGGGTCACCAGCCAGCCTGCTTGTTTCCGGTCCTCCCTCTCACAATCCATCTCCACAAGGAAGCAGAGGGATCTGCTCAACATTCCCAGGAGGAAAGACGGGGCGGGGCCTGGGCCACCATGGAGGAGCCCCTCCCCTCTGGCCCCAGCCTCTTCGTGAGCCACCCCGAGTGTCCCGAGTAACTGTGCCATCATCATGTGATCACGTGGGTGTGCATGGAGACCCCAGTAAACCTTTGGTCCTGCCTGGCCTTGCTGTCTCTGTTTCTCCTGGGAACCTAGCCTTGCCTCAGTCCATCAGAAAGTCAGTCAACAAACACCCTTCCTATTGCTGAGCAAGGTGGGGGGACCCCAGCACATTGCAGACCTGGTTCCACCAGCAAAGGGCTCCCAAATTGTGAGGGGTGACAGGTTTAGGTGTTGCTCAAAACAATTGACATAGATCACCGTACACTGGACCCTCAAAAGAGTATAAGGAAGGGACTTTAATTGTCCCTTTTTCAGGTAAGGTCACTGAGCCTAGGAAGGTTGAAAGACTTGCCTTTGTTCCTAAAGCTAGCTAGTGCCCAACAAGCCAGGTTTATCCGCAACAGATTTTTTATTTTATTATTTTATTTTGTTTTGTTTTTTGAGAGAGAGTCTTGCTATGTAGCTCAGGATGAATTTAAACTCACTATATAACCCTGGCTGACTAGGAACTCATATAATCCTCCTGCCTCAACCTCCCAAGTGCTAGGATTATGGTATGCAGCACCACCTCTAGGTTTAATGCATAAATATGAACATTAAATGTGATGAATTGAGGTGTGAGAACTGTCTAGGGGACATGGTGAGAATTACTTTTCATTAGACCTTGCATTCTGTATCATGTTCGCTTTTTTTGTTTGTTTTGTTGTTGTTGGGGTTTTTTTGTTTTTTTGTGTGTTTTTTGGTACCGGGGATCGAACTCGGGCCCTTGCGCTTGTGAGGCAGGCAGCAGAACCACTGAGCTAAATCCCCAGCCCTGGTGATGGTTTTTTGAGACAGGGTCTGGCCTCGAACTCACAGCAATCCTCCAGCCTCAGCCTCAGCGTCAGGCTCCCAAGTGCTGGGATTACAAGCGTGCACTACCGTTCCTGGCATCACTATTTTTTTTAATTAAAAAAAAAAAAAAAAATCATGGCCGGGGATTTAGCTCAGTGGTGCTGCCGCCTGCCTCGCAAGCACAAGGTACTGAGTTCCACTCACGGTACAAAAAAAAAAAAAACTCATCGGAAAATGTTCAGTGACACAGGTCAATGTTCCCAATAAAGCTATGTGAAGTAATTTGTCAAATGGCATTTTATATCTGCATAGAATTGTACAGTAATACAACAAAGTAGTAACCACTCATTGATGAGATTACTGGTAGGTTTTACTCTCCTGTCTGGGCTCCCCGGGGTTTTTCAGAGATTGCACATTGAGAACCTAAAGTTTTGTAGCCATTGGAATTAAGGTTTTTTAAAACTGCAAGTGCAAACAAAACAAAACTACAAGTTCCGCAGACCTCGCGCCCGGACTTCTCAAGCCTGACCTTCCCCAGAGCGATGATCTTTGGGACTTGTAGTCTGGAAGCGAAAGCGAGGCGGGACGCGAACTACCGGCATAGATGGCAGAGGTGGGAATCACTGTTGCTGCGACCAATGGACAGCGCTTAGTGGGCCTGAGTAGCGGGCAAACAACCAATGGCGAGCCGCTTAGCTTGAGTGACGTGGGTGGCAGCCTATAGGCGGCCCATGGGGCGGGGCGTCGCGAGGCGGCTGTAGTGTGAACCATGGGAGGCAGCTGGTGGTGGGCTCGTGCCGCTCGCCTGGCCAGACTCCGCTTCCGGGGGGTGCTGCTGCCTCCTCAGCGGCCCAGGAGCGGGGGCGCCCGGGGGTCCTTCGCCCCAGGCCACGGTCCCCGCGCTGGGGCTTCGCCGCCCCCAGTGTCCGAGCTGGACCGAGCGGACGCCTGGCTCCTCCGGAAGGCTCACGAGACAGGTCCGTGCAGGGGCTGGAGTCGAGCCCGGGGACAGCGGGGCTCCGCAGTCCAGCGTGGGAGCGCGAGTGCGGGAGACTAGGGTACTGCAGCGGCTGGAAGCAGGGCCCGGGCTTGGCAGGGACCCGGGCTTCCATATCCGCGCAGAGGAACGCTGGCTGCAGGGGCGCAGGCTGTGCGCACCGGGCAAGGACTTGTGCAAGGGGGTGGCAGGGTCCGGGCCGGCGGGGCCCAGTAGGGGTCGGAGGAGGCAGCCAGGCTAGGAGAAGTGGCCGGCAGAATTGTGCCTGCTGGATAAGAGGGCTTCCCCGAGACAGCCAAGGGCGAGGGGTTCCTTGCCTCAGGGATCCGCTGGGGCGGCCGAGGTGACCACTCTGTAGAGTGCAGCTCCCCGCAGAAGATGGGGGGAGGTCCGGATTGGAGGAGGGCACAGCCAATAGGGGCAAGGCTCTCAAATGATTGGAGAAAGAAGTGATCCTGGTTGCAAGGGGAGGAGCCTCGAAGGGGAATGGGTGACAGGAGTGCATGGAGGGTCAGATATAGGATGGGGTGGGGGACTTGTAATGGGACCGGCCTGTTGGAACTACAGAGGGACTGGAGCTGGGGGAAGTGTGGATGCTTTTAAGTCGGCCTTACGCGGTAGGAGAGGCTGGCGTTTGAAGGAGGCGAAAGGAGATCCTGCAGAGAGGCCTGGGTGGGGGAGTCTGTCCCGGGGATGAGAAAGAAGGGGGCTGGGCGGGGGGGTTCACTGGTGGGGAGGGGTTGGCCAAGATGGTCCCCTGGAGTCTTTCCGTCTGGAGATTGAGGGTCTTCGCTTTTGATTCCAGATCGCCCTCTAGGTTCCACACAGGCCATCTTGAATCTTTGGTTGCAGAATTTAGGGGCAAGGGGCTCGGATCGGGATGAGATGAGTGAAGATGGGGTTTGGTGGGGGGTTTCCTGGAAGAGGTGGAGATTTGGGCCGGGTTGGCCTCCTAGCTGGACGAGGTGGAGATGGGACAAGGGGAGGCCCCGCAGGTTGACTGGATGGCAGGGTCTGGGGGACAGGGCTTGGGCTGACGCCGAGACCTCATCTTCCCTTCCCTTCAGCCTTCCTGTCCTGGTTCCGAAATGGCCTCCTGGCTTCGGGCATCGGGGTCATCTCCTTCATGCAGAGCGACATGGGACGGGAAGCCGCCTATGGTAAGTGCTGATCCCTACAAGGGAGCAAGTGTGCTCTAGGCCCCGGTGGATGTGTGGACCCTGTGAGCGTCGCTCTTCTGCCCTGGTGGCCCAGGGCATGGCTATGGGTCTTGACTCCACCTTTAGAGGGCCCTGGGCCCACCCCAAGGCTTTGACACCCTGATGGCTTCTGGTGCCAGCAGCCTTGGCCCTGCCCTGGCCGTGCCTGGCCCCACGGGTTTGTCCCCTTGCCTTCCTGCACAGGCTGAGAGCCCCCTCTCCCTCTTCGCAGGCTTCTTCCTGCTGGGCGGTTTGTGCGTGGTGTGGGGCGGTGCCTCCTATGCCGTGGGCCTGACCTCGCTGCGTGGACCCATGCAACTGTCGCTGGGGGGCGCGGCAGCCGGTGTGGGCGCGGTCCTGGCCGCCAGCCTGCTGTGGGCCTGCGCTGTGGGCCTCTACATGGGGCAGCTCGAGCTCGACGTGGAACTGGTGCCCGACGATGACGGGGCGGCCACTGCCGAAGGCCCCGATGAAGCTGGCCGGCCGCCGCCCGAGTGAGCAGCAGGGCTGTGGGGACCGGCCCGAGGACTGGGACATTAAAACTTGAGCTGCCGGCGCTCCAGATCCGGACTCAGAGTGGTGGCTCCCGTTCCTTGGGGAAGGTGGGACTGGAGGAGGACAAGGCCCGGAGGGGAGAGGAGGGAGAGCAAGGGGAGGAGCGGGAGGGGGGAGATGGACAATCGAGGCCTGCAAGGCGGACACAGGAGGGGAGCAGGCTTTAATCCTGGGCACCGGTTCTCAGTCCCCCTTGTGCTGCGCCCTGGGGCCCGCGAGCCCGAGCCCCGGGCAGGGCAGGCCAAGTGCAGGGCAGAGGGCTCCAGGCAGGCGCGGGCACACGAGGCCCAGCTCTGCGGGCGCGTAGCGAATGGCGCCGGGTGCGCAGAGGCTGCGCACCACGGGCGGCAGGAGGCCCGCGGGCAGCAGGGCTGGCGGCAGCGGCGGTGGGTCGCGCGGGGGCTCCGGGTCCCAGGGCCGCAGCGTGCCTCGGATGACTGAGGTGAACCCGGGCTGCCGCGTTGCGCGCGGCTGCTGGGCAGCTTCCTCGCCTTCACTGTCCTCGGAGCTTCTGGCTTCCCGCGCCCGCGGCTCCACTTTGATGCACTTGCCCCGGGCCTGGGGGGCATCATCCTGGTCTGGGGGCGCAGCCTGCTTCCCCTCTGCCGGCGGACCCCTCTCTGGAAGAGGAAGGTCCCCATGGGGTGGCAGACATCCTGGACCTCAGTTTCCCCAACTGCAGCTGTGCTGAGTGGGTAGACTCGGGGAGGTCAGCAAAAGGGACTGTCCCCGGGCAACACTTGGCAGTGCCTGGGGACATTCTTGGCTACCACAGCAACCACCGTATCCAGAGGAGGCCACCACTGTATCCAGAGGGTCAAGACAAGTGGCTGCAGAAGACCGGGACCACAGCCCAGAGCCATCGCCTGACCTGTCAGGCAGCCGGGGATTGAGGAGCCCTGTGCAGACCTGTGCTGCTCCATGGCACATCCCACATCCACCTGTCCTGTCCTATGGGGAGCCACTGGCCACAGTGTGGGGATCTGTTGAGGATGTGGGCTTTTTTTTTTTTTTTTGGAGACAGGGTCTCGCTATGTAGTCCAGGCTGGCCTTAAACTCATAGCGATCCTCTTGCCTCAGCCTCCCAAAGTGCTGAGATTAGGGGTCTGGGCCCAGCAATGGACTTTTAATGTTCATGTGCACGGCCACACAGGCTGGTGGCTTCACAGCTGGACCAACCTCCCAGAGGTCCCTTCTGGCTTCCCAGGGGCCATGGGGACGAGGGGGTGAGCTTACCGGTGGGCTCCGGCCCCGAGCTGGACGCCCCCTCACAGGCTGCACTGGCTGGAAGCTGGAAGGTGTCCAGAGGGGTCTGGCCACCCTCAGCATGGCTGTGGAGAAGTGAAGTTGAGAGCCACGAGTGCCCGGCCACCCAGCCCCTGGTGACCCTCCTGTACCACACCATGCCAGCAGTAGGCACAGCTCCCGAGCTGTGAGAGCGGGCGACCCCCACCCCAAGCTGGTTTCTTGCTCAGCTTGGCTCTCTCCTGAGGCCAGACCCACAAGCCATTGGCTGCCTGGATCCCACCACCTGCGTGTTCTCCAAATGCCTCATGCTTATATGACCTCAGCATCTTCCTTCTAAACCTCCTCCTCCTCCTCTCCCGAGCCCAGCTCTAGGTTCCTAAAAGCCAGAGACCTAGCTGGAAAATGCCCTGCAAACCTGGAGTCTGGCACTATCCAAGACCTGACCCAGCCTCTTCCCTGGGCCCCCTCTCCACAGCAGCAAGGAGAGTTTCCAAAGACCATGACTCCAGCTCTAGAGCCTTCCATGGCTCCCCTGTACCCCTGAGTCAAAAGGCTCCCCTGTCATTTGGAGCCTTGGCTCTGATGACTTTGACCTCCAGTCCTGTATGCCCCCTTTCCTCCTGTGGACACATCAGGCTGTTGGTTCTTTGACTCTGCTGGGCCCCCTGCTGGCAATGCCCATCCCAGCTTGGTGATCCTCCTGCCTCAGCCTCCCAGAGTGCTGAGGTTATAGGCATGTGCCACTACGCCCAGCTCCACCTCTGACTTCTTTCCATGAGTTGGTTTGCTCTGGGCCTCCATGGCAAGAGCCTCCCATAGCTCTCCAGTGCCCCAGAGTCCAGTCCAGTTCCTTGCACTGGGCCAGAGGCTTCTGTGAACCAGCCCTGCCTCACTCAAACTCTGCCCCCCACGAGTGACTGCTCCCCGTCCCCTGCACCTCTAGGCCTTTGCTCTCACTTCCTGCTCCTTCCCATTGGCTTGTCCTGTCCCTGGACAGCGCCCACCCCAAGGCGGGGCGCAGCAGCTCCTAGCCCTGCAGGAGGGGTGTGGGCCTGTGGCTGTCACCTGAGCACATGGCTGACCCAGAGCACGTGGTGCTCCCCAGGGCTCTTCCCGCTCCCGGCCACGGTGGCCACAGATTGCAGCCACACGAACCCGCCTGTGCGCTGCAGCCAGCGGTAGTAACCAGTCATCACCTGGCCCTTGTCCAGCACTGGGCCCAGCCCGGCAGGAGAGATGGAAAGGGACAGGTGTCGGAAGGGACAGAGGAGATGGCCAGGGAGACAAGCAGATGGACAGTGAGGAGTGGACAGCGAGGGGAGACCAGGAGAAGCGAGAAGCCAGAGGTGTGGGGAGGGAGACAGAGAGCAGAGTCAGAGGGAGCAGAACTTGGGGGTGGGGCCCAGAGTGTTAAAGGCAGGTCACAGAGACCCCCACATCCCACCCCCATCCTGAGCCAGGGCTCAGAGTCCTTGACGCTCTTCCGGTGCTGACCAGGCCCCTGGAGCTGTAGGTGCAGCAGGAGGGACCGTGGCCAGCTTGGAAGGAGGACTTCTGGGGACAGGGACAGTGGGGATGGTGTCAGAGGTGGGCCTCACGGTCCAGGTGGCTTTGGCGGATCCTGGTGGCATCCTGTCCATGGACAAACTGATAGCAGCTGCGGCCCACCAGCTCCGAGGGCCCCAGGTCCATGTGGTCGCTGACTCTGGGGGTGACAGAGGAGAGGGAGGAGCCCGAGTTGGCTTCAGAGCACCCAGAGTCCAAATCCTGGCTGCGAAGTGCTCTGGGCTCATTTGCCCCTCAGTGAAAAGGGCATAAAGCGTCCCTCCTTGGGCACAGAGCCCGGGCACTCCGAACGCTCTGGTCCAGGACTAATTCACTGTTTAAGTGCCCCACTGCCTGGTGCAGCAGAAGCAGCAGGAGACAGGTGAGATGGGAGACGAGCTGGGGAAGGATGGGGCCCTGTGGACCCTCAGGGACCCCAGCATGACACAGTCCCCCCAATGCTGGGGGGGCTTGGCTGTCACCTCCCTGGCCTCTTTACCTGCCCCGGCTCCTCCTCCTCCATGGCTCTCCATTGCTGCAGAGCCCGAAGACCCAGGCTGCCCCTGACTTGCCACAGAACCCAGCTCTCCTGGGAGCCCCCCTGCACCTGCCTCAGCCCCCAACCCCGGTACCTGCTCTCACAAGCAAGGATGGTGAGACCCAGGCTGAGACGGAAGACGATCATGTGTCCGTGTAGAGGCAGCTCTGCCAGAGGGGCTGGGGGCAATGTGTGACCCAGGGCCACAAGGCCCAGGGCGCGGGCCCGCAGGCGCCCTGTCACGTGGATGACCTGCAGGAGGGGGGCGAGGTTGGTGGAGGAGCAAGGTGGGGGTGTCATGTTGGGGAAGGTGGAGCTACTGAGCTAAGGACGGGGTCAGGGAGGCGGGGGCAGCGGTGATGGGCGTGGTTGGAGGGCAAGGTGGGCCTGAGAGCTAGGAAGGCCTAACAGGCCACCCTTCACCCGCAGGTGTGAGGCACAGGGGCTAGCGTGTGGCTCCGTCCCCAGCCTGGTTCCCTAAACCACAGCAGCCAGTGAAGCCACCAGGAATTTAAGAGCTCTCTCCCAGGCAAGCACCCACCTTGTACCCTGACGCCTTGACGTGCAGCCCTCTCTTGGTGAGGGTGGATTTCATACGGACGAAGAAGGAGCGTTCTTGGACCCGGGCAGAAGGGGGCGCCTCGGCAGGGCTGGCGTCTGGGGCGAGAGACACAGTTACGAGCCCCGCCCAGAAGAGGAGATGCCGCGCCCGCGCCCCCGCCTCAGAGCCAGCGGCCCTGGGGTCTGACGAGACCCTGCCACATCCACTCGGGCGCACTGAGTCAGCGCTGGTCCCCCCACTAGGGGAAGGATGGGGCCGTCATGGGCACCCCCGTGTCCCCAGCATCGGGCCTGGCACAAAGCAGGGGCTCAGGGGAGAGCAACACATCAAACTGCCAAATCCAGATTATTCCTCGACCCGCGCCATGCGGTCTGATAACAGTGCTCACGGACGGCTCGTTGCCTCAGACTTACAGACAGCCGCGGGCTTACGGGCAGCTCCCCAGACACAGCTGAGGTTTAATGGTTTCCGCACTAAGCAAACCCTGGGTAGGACAGCCCTGTCTACGGACAGGAGCCTCAAAGGCCTCAACATTTCAGAACTACGGCCGAGGATTTAGCTCAGTGGTTCCGCCGCCTGCTGCGCAAGCGCAAGGACCCGAGTTCATCCCCAGTACCAAAAGAAAAAAAAATTCAGAACTAGAGGGCGCTGTTGTCACCAGCACCCTCGGGCTCCGTCGCCAGCAGAGTGGAAATTTCCATTGGGGAGAAGAGTTAGGAGGTTAGATCCTGGAGCCAGACAAACGGGCTACAGCTGTGATCTGGGCAATCAGCTTGGCTTTTTCTTGCCGTGCCTCATTTTCTGCTTTGGGAAATGGAGAGGATTCGCTTTGTGGGACTGGAGTCAGAATCCAATGCGCAGCACAACGTAGACTCCCTAAGCCTAGCCACCCCGCCCCCACTCAGCCGCAGGAGGGGTCTTTCTTAAAGGTCAGTTTTGGGGAGCCTGACATTCTGGGGAGCTGGGAGCCAAGTCTCATCGATTCTGGTTCGTTGTACGAAGATTTACTTTGCACAACTGGAAGGAGAGAGGATTAGCTCAGTACAGAGTAACAAGCGCCCCCAGCCTACACTCGGGGTTCATACTTTGGGGGACCCTTGGAATTACCGATCTCAGGGATATCCGCCTGCGAGGAGGAAGAGGAGGAGGAAGAGGAGGAGACGGAGGGCGGGGTGGGGGGACCGGGAGTCCGGGCCCGCAGTCCCAGCTGCTCCAGCACCTCGGTGTGGTCCCCGGGGTGAATGTAGTCGAAGACGCTGCTGCCCGTCAGCTCCACCTGCCGGCGACGGAAGGGAATGCAGGGACGGCTGAGATGCGCGCAGAGCCACTCAAGCTTGGACCCCGGCACAGGTGCGAGTCAAGTAGTTTTGGTTTTATGGTTTGCTTGTTTGTTTTTGGTACTGAGAGCTGAACTCGGGCCCTTCTCACTGTTCCCCCTTACAGCCCCCCCCCCAATAACCGCCTGCCTTCCCCTTTCTCTTGGTCCAAAACCCTTTCTTTAGCCAGGAGTGATGTCGCACGCCTGTAATCCCAGCACTTGAGAGGCTGAGGCAGGGAGATTGCTGGGAGTTTAAGAGCAGCCTGAAATACATAACAAGACCCCCGGGCCGGGGATGTAGCTCAGTGGTTCCGGCGCCTGCCTCACAAGCTCAAGGTCCCGAGTTCGATCCCCGGTACCCAAAAAAACCCCAAACACACACACAAGACCCTGTCTCAACCACACACACACGTGTGCGCACACACAAGAGGTCTCCTTCCAAGAATCTAACAACTCACTGAAAAGCTGCTCACAAGGACCAAATCGCAGATGCACTGAATTCTCCCAATTTTTCATTTGCCAAAATCTTTACGAAAACGATGAAAGGTGAGAGCGATTTGTATAAATGAATCTGCAAGCCTAGGCGCTGAGGAGGCCAAAGTTTGTCCCTGTCCTCAGAGGCAGGAGCTGGGGCAGAAAGCGCACCAAGAGATAAGCCTCAAGCACCACGCAGTCGCCCCAGAAGAATTACTGAAAACCAGCCGGGCCTGGTGGTACACACCTGTGATCCCAGCCCTCGGGAGGCTGAGGCAGGAGGGTCTGGAGCCCAGCCTGTGCAATTTAGCGACTTAGTTAGATCCTGTCTTAGACAAAAAAACAAATGGATGGATGGCCTGGGGACTACATAGCTGTGTGAAGATCCTGGGTTCAATTCCCCACACCGCAAAGAAAACAAAACTTGTAAACTTTTAAAAAAGAACAAGTGTTGGCAAATACCGCGCATCTCGCCATTCAGTCACTGATGAACTGATCTTTCAGTTCATTTTTTTTCTTCAGATTGACCTCCTACTTGAACAACCTCCTCCGCCCATCATGAGCCACCGGGGTGCCACGTGCGGTTCCCGGGAACAGATTTGGGGAACCACAGATCCAGCCCATGTTTTTTCTTCCATCCTGGGATGGGGGCACCAGGAGAGCAAGGCAGGCACCTGCTGGGCGGGCACTGGGGACGGCGGCCCTCAGGGGCCTTACCTGTGAGAGACCCAGGTAGATGGAGACGGTTTCGGAGATGTACAGGAATTTTCCTTCCTGGTTCAAGGCGAAAACGAAGCCGTCCAGGGACTGCAGTCGGGGGAAATAAAGGGCGGGAAAAGGGAGGATTCCGCCCCCAGCAGAAGACCGGGTCTGAAGTCTGTGTCCCTGAGGGATGCAGCGAACCACCGTGGCTGGCAGGCGGCAGGGGGCGCGCGAGCGTTCGGTCTGGGGTCCGCGCGCTGCAGATTGCACAGGTGAGAAGAGGACGCGGTTCCGCAGGCGGCCACCAGGTGGCAGCAGAGAGCGGCGGCGGGCCCTCACCTGCAGGATATGTCCTCCCAGGTGCTGCTCGAAGACCTCAGAGACCAGAGCCGCTTGGCCACGGCGTCCGGGGGCTGGGGGCAGAGGGAAGGGTGCGTGGGCCCGTTGGTCTGGCGGACCCAGCCCTGGGAGACCCTGAGAAGCCGCTCTACAATCCTCCCGCGTCGCTCCAGGCCTGTGGCCACCACCTTGGGTACTGGGGCTTAGGGGGGGTGGGCCGGGGAGTGGGGAGGGCCCATGGTGCGGGGTCCAGTGACAGAGTGACTAAGATGTAGACACAGAGGAGGGCGGAGAGAGGGCTCCCCACAAGCTGCTTGAACCCTGCTGTCCCTGTCCTGTGCTAGGGCCACAGCAGTGAGCAGCACAATCTAGCCGTCCTTGCCTGCTTCAGGGCCCGGGGTAGATGAATAGCGAACAAGAAACGAAGACACAGAATTAGCGTCTGGGGCTGGTGTGGTGAAGGTCAGGTGATGTGAAAGAGACAGAACCTGCAGCTGTGCTGCACATCTGTAATCCAGCACTTGGGAGGCTGAGGCAGGAGGATCACTGTGAGTTTGAGGCCAGCCTGGGCTACATAGTGAGACCCTATCTCAAAAAAAAAAACCAAACAAAAAACAACCCAGGGCCGGGGATTTAGCTCAGTGGTTCCGCCACCTGCCTCACAAGTACAAGGTCTCAAGTTCCATTCCCAGTACCAAAAAAAACCAACCCACCAACTAAATACACAAATCGCTGGGAATGTAGCTCAATGTGAAAGCCTTGGGTTCAATCCAGTACTGCCCCCAAAAAGGAAAACATTGGTAAAGAACTTGAATGAACACTTTTCCAAAGAAGATGTGGAAACAGACGCTAAGCACACTGATAGATGCTGGGCCTCAGGAGTCATTAGGGAAATGCAAATCCAAGCCACATGAGAGGGCACCTCACATCCACTGGGATGGTTATGAATGGGAAAAAGAGAAAGTGCGTGCTGGGCCGTCAGTGTTCTGACAGAAGCCGAGGAGCAGGGTGTTCAGTCACCAAGTAGACACTGGATCAGCACACGAGCCTGCAACGCCACTGCTAGGTGTGTAAGCAGGAGCGTGAGAGACAGGGCTGTAACACATGCAGGTCCACGCACTTCTGTGACAGCGGAGACGAAGCCCAGCGCCCCACAGCAGACCAGGGGCAGGACGAAGAGCACAGTACTATTCAGCCATTAAAAGGAGGCGGGGGCTGGGGTGTGGGTCAGAGGGAGAGCGGGGCTTAGCATGCCGAGGCCTTGAATTCCATCTCCAGCACCACCAAAAAAAGGAGGGGATGAAGCTGGGCCCAGTGATACAAGCTGTCACCTCAGCACTCTGGGAAGCTGAGGCAGGAGGGTCCCAAGGCACTGGGTTCAATCCCCAGTACTGAAACAAAAAAGAAAAGAAAAGGAAGCACTCCCACATATATGCAATGTCTGGGACTGAGACAACTATCACTATGACTGGGGAAGAAGGGGCAGCTGCTTGTCAGGCGTGGGACTCTTTCTGGGGCGAGAGAAATGCTCTGGAAGTAGATGGATGTGACAGAGCCTCTATCATGGCTGCACTGAAGGCCCCTGATTTGCATATTTCAAAATGGCCAGTCGCCTTTGTTTTGTGGTACTGGGGATTGACCCAGGGACTTCGCACTGAGCTATATCCCTAGCCCTTTCCTTTAACATTAAAAAAAATTTTTTTTTGTACCAAAGATCGAATTCATGACCTTGCGCTTAAAAGGCAGGCGCAGTGCTGCTGAGCTAAATCCCAGCTCAACATTTTTAAAATTTTGAGAAAGGGTTTTGCTAAGTCATTAAGCTCAAAATGGGCTCTGCCTGCCTCAGCCTCCCAGGGTGTTAGGATTACAGGCCTGCACCAATATGATTGGCTTAAATAGCCAATTTTACCTCAGGGATTTTTTTTTTTAAAGATAAGGATCGGGCCGGGGATTTAGCTCAGTGGCACCATGCCTGCCTTGCAAGTGCAAGGTCCTGAGGTACTGCAAAAA